AGATTCTAAGGCAGTCTTGTTTATTACCAAGGAAAAGAATCAGGTTAGATTAGATCCATGATGGCAAACCTATGGCACGTGCGCTAGAGGTGGCATGCAGAGCCCTCTCTGTGGGCACGCACGCCATCGCCAGCTGCTCTTCTGGTTTCCGGCACACACATGTGCACCAGCCAGCTGGTATTCATGTGCACCGGAGCACCAGAAATCCAAACACCAGAATGTGCACCAGTGCATGCTTGTGCGCATGCCAAGAATTCCAGTGCACAAAGGCCAGTGGGCCGCTGCGCATGCATGCACTAGAAACTCCAAGACCAGCTGGCCAGCACACACATGCACACAGGCATGGTACTTTGAGTTTCCAATGTACTGGCATGTGTGCAAGCGCATGCACAGGTGCACATTCCGCTTTGGGCACTCGATACTGAAAAGGTTCACCATCATTGGATTAGATGTTTTTATGGCTCACTAGATGCTCTCTACCTGTTTTTTTCAGATATATCTAGGCACCCTGCAAATAAGATCATTTGTCCATCTACCATGATTACTTATGCAGATTCACAGGGGCCGTGCAGGGTCCCACTCAGGGATCGTACTCTTTTTTTTATCTCTCGAATACATTCAATTAAAAAAAACTTCATTCAAGTAGGTTGGGCCTATCTTTATACAAGACATGTACTCTGCCACAAAACCCAGTCCCTTTCCACTAGGATGTGGAGAATATCTAGTGGAGGACTGAGAAAAGAGGTTTATAATGAGGGCAGGTGGGAAAGTTAATGAAGGGAATGAGAAGGATAAAATTATTTGTGTAAACATTTAAACAAACAAAGAAATAAAAAGCCGAAATTGTTCAAAGAGGCATGACAAACTCTATCACCCTTGTGGCTTTGGAAGCCTGAAGGATGACTGGGAGGCTCTTGCGTATTATGAGTTCCTAGAGTTGCAGAACAGAAAAGTCTGGAGATTATGACGAAAAAGGAAAAACATAGATACATATTAAAAAGAAATATTGTAAAATCAGAGTGTTTCTTATCAAAACCTCATTGCAATTGTGTCTCAACTAAAATCACACTATAGCTCCAGCTAATGTACCAAAAAAAATAATCTGGGTTGCTTCTATTGTTGTTTCTTCATTGTTTCATCAACACGATTTTACCAAAACAAAGATTTGTGGCTTATATTGTTCTTAGTCCTGTCCTGGAATTAATAATAATAATCCTCTCATAGAACCACAAGGCCCATGTTTTCTCAGGTATATGTCACAACAATCATTCTATTGATTATATAGGGCATTCTCATAATTATCCTCTGTTGGAAAGATGGCCATGAGATTAACAGTATATTATCTTTTTTTAAGGTCATCTTCTAATACAATATTAAAAATAGGCAACATCTCTTTGATGCAAGAACATTCACGAGTAATCTTGGGCCTTGAATATCTATTGATAAAAATAGTTATCACAGATATTTTCCTTTAATAATTAACCTGAGTCCTGAATTCTCACCAGGAAAAGTAGTAATATTGAATAGCCAGAATCTATTTATCCCTTACTAAGAAGCTGCATGTGTCATTTTATTAAGTTTAAACAGCAACCAAAATTAGTCTAAAGAGGTGAATGAAGGAAACAAGCTCCATTCATATTTCATATAACTGCTTGACAGTTGTGGGGTGAAAAGAAAACAAGAAAAAGATATCTAGAACTATCAATACATTAGCCTGATCTGCTCAAATCCATTTCTTACATTCTATCATTGCAATTTATAGATTCACATAGATGGTGGGGAGAATATTATTCAGTACAATTACAAGAGGCAAGCATTCATACATTTCCTTTTTTTTTGCAAGTCTCCATATCTAAAGCTAGATTCTTAGATATAAGTACTTAGTTATAATGTATTTTCTGATCATAATGGCAAGTTCATATAACTTTTCAGGCCAGAGCCGAGAAGGGAGGGGGTACCATGAAACTCCCCCCCCCAAAATTAGCCAGCTTCAAAAGCTTTGAGATTTATCAAGCAATAATTGGAGAGGTGCCAAACATCAATGATCGTCTGGCAGCTGGATTTCTAAAATAAGCAGGTACTATCATTGCAAGGCGTTTAGAAATGAAAAGCCTGTTTTTTTTAAAAAAACCATACAAATTAAAAACTGCATGTCCAACATATCCCAGAAGGAGAGGCAGTCCATGTTTTAAAATGCCTTATATTTGGATTTTGGAAAAAACAACCACCATACAGTGGAGCCCTATTGGTTCCCTGGGCATTATTTAGGCTTTAGCTCTTTTCTTTGCACTTTTGCACTGTTTTTTACCAATAAAGAGATCATGTGGAGCTCCCTGAGAAGCTTTTACTGCTGCCTTTACACAAAACACTACTTCTGATGGATATTAGCTTATGGCATAATGCCGAGGGGGGAGGGGGGAAACTGGTGCCTCTCTACTTCAAAGCACCCTTGGAACAGGTTCTCTCCATAAATGTAGCACTTCTCTTTAGCAGCCTTCTCGGCACTGCTGCTAAGGGATGCTATGCATCCAAAAGAAGCTGCAAAAGATGCAGCCCTTCTCTTCTGGGCTGTCATTGACCCTTCATAGAACTATAGGCAGGATAGCAATTGAGGGGACTGATTGTGACTTTCTTTCTATCAATACACCAGCATCACTGTAGCTACATAAAAGTAGGCTCAGAGAGAGATAGAGATAGATAGAGAGAGAGTGAATGGGTGCCAAACGGGGAGATCAATACATCTAGACCACCGAGAAGCTCACACCGAGATTTCTCTTTCAGATTCTGCGCAGCCCTTTCATTCCTCCACTGACTGAGGCTGATGTATGCTATAAAAAGCCATCCCTCCTAGCGATCTCTCATGATTCTATGGTATTGCTAACCGAGAAACTGAAGAAATGAGGATGAAGGAAAGAATGTCAGGCACTAGGCAGGCTGCCTGAGTTGTTGCTTGGTGACCGGCCATAGCAAGCATGAGTGGCCAGGAGGCTCTCAGCCAGATAGAGAGCTGGGATTGAGACAGCATGGGCATGTGTGGGCAAGTGAAGCACTGAAGTACAACTAGCTGCTATAGGCATATATTTCCGACACATAAGGCTGCGCTGCGGCATCTCGTGTATATTATACGCAGAGGTTTTTCCAGCCTGGCAAGATGGTAGGTCGGTAGGTCTAATGGACTGGCAGCAGCAGATCATTATCTAGCAGGAGACTTGCCTTCTTGGAATACCTGTTTTCCTTTGGTTCCTGGAGGATGGGTTTTCCCTTTTGGTCCTTTTCTGAGCATACCTGGTGACACAGGGATCTCTCCCGGTAGGCCTAGAGCCTGAGCCCTGGAGGGAGCTTTGGGAGGAAATGTAGTCCCAGGCCTATGCGGTCGAGATGGTGATGGGCTTTCCTTTCTGGATAGGGATTGGCTTTTGGGGGAAGCACTGAGGTTTCGTGGAGGGAGAACAGGGCTTCTAGCTGGCAGATGGGGGGCTTTCCTTGGGCTGCTCTTCAAGGAAGGGGTAGCAGGAGTTGGGGTAGCTTTCATCCGGGGGTCACCAGATATATTCCCAAATGGCCTTTGCCCCTGAATCCTACAAGAAGAAAAGAAGGAGGAAGCACAATGTTTTTTTTTAAACCAGATCACCAAAGGTATCCTACTCCAAAACTTTACAACATAGGAGAGAAACTAATAGTCTGTAACAGGTTAAAAAGGAAACATATGGTGGCCAAGTGCTACCACATGCCACAACAAAGAAGAGGACAAATTTGGTTATCAACATACTCAGTAATTGTTTTTGCATATCAATACCAACTTCATACAGTAAAATAGCAAGGCTATCATTTCATTATGTGTCTTGTGGGAGTTGAACAATGTACCCAAGCCCTGATGCACATATGTATGCTTCTTTCTCCTTTAACGAAAGAATCCCTACACTGGGGCTACACAGAGTAATTATGAGCTGGGATACCCATAACAACAAATCAGTCAATGGGAACTGTTTGGTGACTGAGAGCCATCTCAGACAGTTTGGATCTGGATTCTGAATTCTGGTTCTGGCTTCTACTGCATGGGTATTTTATGCATGCAACATGCTGTATATTACTGTATATAAAGAAGTTTCTTTTATACATGAATCCTGCCAAATTATTTACGTGGTTGGATTGCTGCAAACTCTGACACTGATATGGCAATATTCAAAGTGATATTAAGACAGCAACATGCATGCAGAGTCATCATGCAAATACAAAAAATACTAGTGTTTTGGGGTCCTAATGTCTATTATTAGTCTGTGACTGACATTTGCACTGTGACATGGTTATGTATATTTTGTCATTCCTGCCTTCTCTGTGGATACCCATATTTGGACATGTTTATGCAGTGTTTGCTTCAGCCAAGATGCTATTTGCATGGTAGAGGTGAGATGCAGGTTATGTTTTTGCAGGCACAGCATCATCTTTGCTGAAAGTCACATAAACCAAGCATATAAGCCACTTCGATTAAAGAAGCAAACACTACATACTGAGTATTTAAAGGTAGAGAATTTCTATTAAGATACTGATTTCTTTTATTGAAGTATTTAAATTCTATTTTGTGTTTATTTTCTAATTCCTTGCCTTGTAAAGTATATGTTATTTGGAAGAAAGACAGGATACACATTAAATGAACAAGAAATAGATTTTTCTTTCTTTGTTTCTACAGCCCAGTAGAGGGGCTGAGCTCCACTTGGCAGGCAACTCTTTTAGCCACTCTCCGGAGATGAGAGGGAGTCCTCTCAGCAGGCAGCAACAACTTGCAACCTTCCCTGCAGGGCTTCCCATTGACTTTCTGGGGAAGCCAATAGAAAACATTGTAAATGGTGATCACATGATCATAGGGTGCTTGGAAACTAATCATAATTGTGAAAAGGTTGGCAAGTGCCTAAATTGTGATCATGTGATTGGGAGTGGATGCACCATGACATTTTACAGGATGTAAAACATCCCATCTGAGACTGTAATAACTTCAACCGATAAATGACCAGTTGTAAGTTGAGGACTACCTGCAAGGAAAGTAAACATTAGAGAACATAGATGCAGCTGTTACGAAGATAATAATAGTCAGACAGTTGATACATATGTCAGAATTGTTACCCCTAACCTTATATACAGGAACCTTTAGTATACAACATTAAGCTTGAAAAAAATCTGCAGTAGGGAATACTAAACTAAGAGGCCATAAAGTAGACTTACTCCTTCAGTTATGATTCCTGCCTAAAATGTCCTTTTTATATCTTTTATTTCTAAATACCCCTGTAGAAATGTATTGTGTCCCAATTTGGTTTTTAAAAAGTTTCCATGACCCCAAAGGAATCTCTTTTAAATGCGAAAATACTAACTTCCATCTAATTTTGAAGGCAAAGCCATGGAATGTTTGGGAAGGCTCTGTAGGCAGCCTATTTTAAAATTATGTCTAACATCATAGCAATATTAATCTGGTCGATTGCAGTCTAGTGGATAGGCTGGGTAAATATAAAGAAGGAGCTGAGGTGACAGCAAGGACAAAAGAAAGGGTAACTCTCTAAATCCAACTGCTTGCTGAATCAGAAAGAAGTACCACATACCTTATGGGCCCAGCTGCATCACCGGTACTTCTACTTGGCGCTGCTGGCGGAAGGGCTGAAGGGCTCCCATATTTTAGTTCTATCACAGGTGGCTTTACAGGTACAATGGGGCGAGGGATTCTGCTCCTTATATTTAAACTTCTCTCCTCCATCTTTACCAGGGAAATTCTCTCCTGATTTCCAATCTTCCTTGGGGTGAAATCATCTGAATCATGAGTATCTTCCTCAGAACCAGTGGCCGACAAGGTTTCTGAAGCCCGCTGCCTCTCATCACTAGAGGAAGCAGAAGATGAAGCTCCAGAAGCTAACCTGAACAGATAGCTTTGCCTTTTCTCCATCACCAGGCGGGCCAAATCCTGTTGTTTCAGTCTCTTGTATAGCCTTTCTTTGCCAGAGTGTGAAGCTGAAACATCTGATCCAGTGTCTTCTTCAGACAGCAAGACAGGAATCCGGCTTCTATACCTTACATTCAATGGCTTTTTGGAAGTTTCTGCTAGAATATGTGGAAGCAACTCTGCCTGTCTAAGGGATTCATTTTCAAGGGTTTTATTATCAAGGCCAGGTTCTTCTGAAATCAACTTACTATCTTCTTCCACATCTGACTCGGGAATAAGTTTGCCCTTAAGTTCTAGCTCCTCTTCTTCTTCCATTTTAACACCATTCAGGAATACCAGTTCCCCTGCGGCTTCAGAGGTGGTTTCAATATGATTCACTGAGAAAGCACAACTTTCCATTTCTCCCCCTTCCAAGGCTGAATTCACACTCCCATTTTCTATCAGTACCTGATTTTCCTCTAATTCTTCCTCAACGATTATCTCTTCAAACTGCCCTGTATTAGAGTATTCCTCGTGCCTCATAAGCTGGCCACTGGAAGACATGATGTTTAGATGTGTCTTTTCGGCAATATGGACAAATGTGCGTTCAACTTTAGTAAAAGGGGAGGAGGTTGTGGCCACAGACATAGGAGGCTTTGGTTCAGACTTGAGGATGGAAGACAACGTTCCTGGCTCAGATACATCAAGCTGGCTTCCCATAGGCTGAGGTTTCTCACTTTGAGGAGTCAGTGCAGCAAGAGTTCCAAGATCAGCATCAGGAGCCAAATCTGTATTCACAGGAGACTTTTTCAGGTCACCTGGTGAAAAGAGAACTAATGTTTTTGAGCCTTCCTCAAGCTCCAAGTCTCCTTCTGCAGCTGATGCTCGACCCTTGGATTCCTTCTGGTCATCTGCTAAAAGAGTGGATGGAGCACCTTCCTGACTACGCTCAGTACTTTTTTGACTCACTTCACTGCTCGAATCACTCTGCATATCAAATTCTTCTCCTAAATTACCAAGTTCTTCATCCTCCTCTTCTTCCTCTTCCTCCTCTTCCTCCTCCTCCTTTTTTTCTTTATATCTGCCATTTGCCAGTTGAAGATGAGCATTAGGTGGTTTACAAGGGGCAGTTAAGACAACATTTGAGAAATCCACTTTTTTTATTCGCTGGAGAATTTTGGATCTTTCCCTATTTTCTGATACATCCCTTTTGAAATCTTGGTAAGGCAAATTTAAAGGCACCACCCTGGGGAGACCATTCATTTCAAAAGGTTTCAGTGGGAATACCTGAAAAAAGACACACAAAAATAGTTGGTTATCCAGAATGTTAAAACTATATAAGCAATGTTGCAATAGCTGAAATTAGCCAGGACAATTAAAACCACAAATGAATGGAGACCAAGAGGTGGGGACC